AGTAGTGGTAGTAGTAGTAGTACAACAGCAGCAGCAGGGGCAGTAGCAGTCGTAGCAATTAACAACAGCACCATCGCCAAAGGTGGAGCCCCAAAGCCTGGTGCCGGGCCGGGAGCAGCGGGCACCGGAGCTGGACCTCCAGGGAAGTCACTTTCATGCCTCCCGAAAAAGAGCGTCGCAAGGTAGCCGCAACTTCAGCAAAGCCCCTAATCACTGGTAACAGTGGCAAGAACAGCGGTGGCGGTGGTGGTGGTGGCGGCGGTGGTGGTGGTTGCGGTGGTGGTGGTGTGACAGGCGAACATAGACATAGAGCGAGAGATCCGACTTCAGGCAGCACCGTGAGCGGCAGCAAATGCTTCTGTGGTCATGTTGCCGTGTCTGTAACCTTCACTCCAAGCTACAGCTGCCAGCCATTCCCATTCCATTCCACGTTCGGTTCACCGGCAGCTGACAAACAGAGATCTGGATTCAAGCCGCTTCGTGCCTGGTGCTACTGCAGCCACTAAGCCAGGTGCTGGTGCAGGCGACGGGGCCACAGGAGTTTGCCTCGAGAGGCTGAACGTTGAAGTGTGGTACCATTTGAGAAACGTGGAGTCTTTAAGTCTACGTACTGATTCTCGTAGTCCTGCGATGTAGGACAATGTAGGATCTACATGATGCTGCCTCAAACTCCCATATTCCTTGTGGGCAATGTGGCTTCGAAGTTGGCAATTCGGGTGGATTGTGGGTCCCGGTCGCAAGGCCCTGCAGATTGCTAGCCTCATGTTCGGCCATTGTCAATATCAATGGCATTCATCATGCACCCGCTGTACTACCACGACACACTGTGTTTCATACGTGATGGGCCCGTCAAACAGGTCGCGGCAACGCGTGCTGCAGAGGCTGAATTGGCAGTGTACACAGGACGCCTGCTTGTGAAAAATGAGCCTCCGAAGATTCGGAAATCCAAGATGCTGCAGGAAGCTCAACGAGGAAGCACTGTGCCAGGGGCCTCGGTGCCGACCGGCCCCCCACCAACTTCAGCTGCAGTGCACGAAAGGCACTTAGGGATGTACTGAAAGCCGCAAAAGTTCCTCGACTTCTGCTCCAGCAACTACAGACGACGGGAAGGCGGTACAGTAGCAGCCTCTACATAGGAGCATCGGCTCGGATGTTCAGACCCGCTGTGCTACTTGGCTGCAAGAGTACCTGAAGCGATAGACGGGTCCACGGCCAACTTTGGATTTGGAGCCGAGCCCACGACTCATGACGTTTGAGGTGCGCTCGGGAACCAACCTCCCAAGTGCCACAGTAGAGAGCCGAACGGCAAAGCCCAAGTGCTTGAGCACGCTCTACACAAAGAATACAAGACTGGACCTGAACCCCAACAATACCTACAAGCACAGTTCGCGCCAGATACTTCGCTGGCAAGGCTGACCGTACCGTACTCCTAGGTGATGGGTGGGAATCATGGCAAGGGAAGCTGCACCCTGAACCAACATGCTCGAATCTTCGATGACGAAGCCACAAAAGAACTTGGCGTGCTGTCGCCAGAAGCTGAAGGACGCCAGTGTTGGATCTAACGAGAAGTTGAAGTTTAGTAGAAGTACTCAGAGGTGAATCTCCTTTCCGTCTTTGCTGTAACATGTCTTGGGAGCAATGCGCTTCGGCTGCAGCGGGATCAACTTTCTTCTACGTAATTGCTGAAGAACTGCACACCAAGTCTGCAGGAGTAAGCACTTGCTGACGATCTCGGGGCCCAATCAATGCGGAATACGGAATACATGCTACTGCCAGAGAAAAAACCATGACTGCCCAGAGGCCTAGACATTGAATTGCCGAGTCTTTCAAAATGCAAGCCCGCTGTGCTGGGGTCGCCCTGATATGGGAGGCAGCGCATCTTCTATGCTTTGTAGGTATCACTCTCGAACACACAACAGCTCCGGAAACCCGAATGCGCAAGCCCAAGCAGAACACAGCCTTTGAAAACCAGGTGCTCGTGACCATCCAAAGCTCTGCACGGTTGACCCCAAGACCGTGTGTGGAATCGGTAAGCTTGATGCGTCACTCGGCTGATATAACTTCTTGCAAAGACAATGCGAAGAGGGAAGTGGCACAAGCAAACACGACCAGAAGAAGCTTAATCAGAACAAGCTCAATGACACAGCAGCATAATGCCCAGTTGAAGGCTTCTGTCGATACGAGCACCAAACGACGAGAACGGCCACCCCAAATCCTGCCCTGATCACCTTGGCCACTCCAGGCGCTGTGCCAGGGAGGGTGCCGGCGCTGGTGCAGGAGCTTGCATGGGCGCTGGCGACGGCGCGGCACCTCAGAAGCGGAGTTTCTTTGAGCTCTGTAAGACCTCTGAGTGAGAGAGAGAGAGAGAGAGAGAGAGAGCTTGGACGACAGGAGCATGAAGGTGCTTCTCGAGTGTCTTGGGCTTGTTCTTCGAGGTTCATGCTGAGGGTTGGTCGCTGGAATCGGCATCCGAGTCCGGCGAGGCTTGGGAAACGAGAGTCGGAGCTCCACGTTCTCAAGCTTTTCATGGTCTTGGCCAGATTTCCAGGAACGTTTAGCTGGCCATGGCTTGTTGAGACTCTGAGAAGTTCAAGCAAGGCTTGCAGTCTGAACAGATGGCCAGGGCACCCGATACAGCAGAAGGCGCAGCACAACGACTGCCCTGTCGGCACAGGGAATTTAGATCCGGGACCGCTTTGCAAAAATGAGTTTCGTTGTTCCAGCTTCGAAAATCTGGATTTGCAAGGCTCGGACTCCTTCCTGCATTGGTATAATTACCCTCGAAAAGCTTGTTTGAGGGTCTTTTCTGAACTATGCTTCATGTGGTCGTGGTTCTTGCGATGTGCAGTTGCCATTAATCCCGAAGCCTCGCGTGCAGAATTGGAGCAAGGTGCTTGAGCACGCGCAGAAACCAATGAAACGGCATTTGACCACCCGTGTTGCTTGCGCAGGGTTGAATTGCAGCTCCTGTGTCACTCCGATGATCCATGCAGCCCTAGCAAGGTAGCACGTCTGAGTCTGGTCTAGTCAGCGGATCACTGTCAGGCCGCGAGGCCTCAGATGATACTGTCCAAAACCCGAAGACTCGCTGAAGCAGTCGTGATAGCTGATTACGAAACCCAGTGTCCGCAAGCGCCGCCTCCCAAACGCAGCGCTTCATCGAGCAAGCAAACTCATCCTCCAATGTCAGGCAAGCGCACGGACCCACTGGAAAGCCGTTCTCATCTTCAAGAGGACGCGAGGCTACTTGAGGCATTTCCGGGTCCTTCGCAGACAGGCACTGCCCCATGGTCAGGAACTCCTGGCGGTCGTCTTTGTGCTTCAGGGTGCGTTTGCCTCTTCTAGCTCTCGCTAGCTGCTGCATGCCTGGCAACGTGCTCTGAGGATCCAACTCTCTCGCCGACCTCCCCGGCTCCCCGGCCCTGGCGGCCCTGGCGGCCCTGGCTCCTTTCCGTCGATCTTGATGGAGCTCGTCGTGTCGAAACCCAGCGCCAGGTCGAAGACATACGTGCCGGCCTCATCCCGAGGCACTCGGCTCCAATGCCAAAGCTGTGGATAGCGGATATTATTCCTCGCCATGGCACCCTCGAGTCGGGATCTGGGAGTGGAAAGCCCTTTGCAAATGCAAAGCCCGCCTGAAGGATGTTCACGGTTCCAGACCACTTCCCGTAGAAGAAGCCTCGAGGACGGAGGCTTGAAAGCAAAGCTCCTCTAGGACTGGGCCTCTTGCTTTTAGAACATAAAATCCTTATAGATCCAGCCGGGAGACCACCGGCGGTGGCATGCTGGGCTCGGTCCTGACTGGGCAGAAAGCCAGGATCGTAGGAGCTCTCCGGGCTGTTGCAGACGGATCTTGTGGCAGTGTAGACGTGTGGTTGTCCTAATTCTGGCATCAATGCCAACACATCCTTTAGGAAAAAGTCGGTCATAATCGACGATTCAAGCAGCCGCGCAAGCAAGCGAAAGAGGAGTCCTGGAGATAGCGCTGGAAACCTCCTGTGAAGCCCATACCTTAGCCAGGCTTCGGACCGAAAGCTGTGCGCACAATCAACAGATTTCCCTGCGTAAGCTCAGCCTCGGCTTCCTGTCACGGCGACGGCCAGAACTTCACTGATCTCACTCTAGACTCGTCTGCTGCCTTCGGTTTGCGCCTGCTGTTGCCTCAGGCCCGGACGATAGTCGAGGGCTCGGTCGATAGCCGACGCTACAGGAAGCGGACCTGCATCAGACCAATGCACAGAAGCGAAGCATCAAAGCTACGCCTCTTCCTGGCTGGGTCCCGAGGCTCAGGAAACGTGAAAGCCACTGGCCTCTCACCTCTTCTCGTGCACTCGGCAATCCGGGCCCTCTGCTTTACTCTCGCAGTGTGTTGCAGGTGCCGTTTGGAACCTGGACACTCTGCTAGAGCCTACAGAACATAAACCATCATAAACCCTTGATCGCTAAACCAAACCAGACCTGTAAGTAGGAACCCGAGACCCCGATAGCCGATCGACGCCCCACAGCTTCAAAGCCACCTGAGCAATCATCGCCCGGTGGAGAAGCGAAGAATCGTGCCGAGAGACCTGAGCAAACTGTTGATTATTTTTCAATGCGCATAGGGCCCGTCTGCCTGGCTGACAACAGCGCCCTGAACCCCTGAGAGAGGCTATTTGCTGAATTAGATTAGGGCAGCACATGCTCAATCAGAGCTCATCCAAGTCACCCAGCACGTCCGGCCGCTCCCTGGCAAAAAAATCTGAACAGAAATCCCGCGATTCGAGGCCTCATGTCATGCGCATCAGGTTTGATCCGAAGGCTTCTGAGCGTGGACAAGAACCACTAGGCGAAAGCAGGCGTGGAACCTCAGCAAAGCCAGTCTCGCCCTTGCCCGTGGCAGAATGAAGTCACCCCCGAACATCCCAAGAAAGCTTTTACAACCGGTGGCAAGGTTGCCCGACTGTTCTTGGCACGTTCTTAAGGATTTCAATGACAGATTTTGTACTTTCACCACAATAAGAACTGCGCCTCTGCTCCACTGCGGCGCCCAAGATGTGCGCAAACTTCGAAGGGATTCGGTCCATGGGCGCCATCACCGGGGATGCATCGAGGAAGTCCTGGTGGCAAAGCAGAGGCTATGATGGAAGCTGAAGCTGCACTTCGGGGGATAAACCATGGCCGAGGCCGAAGATCTCCCATAGGGCTTAGGATTTATAGGGTTTGGGGGCATAGTAGCGAGGGGGAAACGACAAAAGGCTCTCCTGTGGCAAGGTCTCTGTGGGCGCCACCAAGGAGTCCAGATCCAAACGGTCCTGCCAATCTTCCACCACGAATGCTTCCACCGCTCAGGGATTAACTATGGAACATGGGAATCCGCAACCAATCCCTGCCCTGCAGCGATGTGGGTTTCCAACCCTGAAAATTCAGACCCATTCCCTTCAAGGCGAAAGCTTGTCCTGAGCCGAAGCCTCATCCCGCACACTTCATTTTCTACACCCCAAACTGTACATCAAACCCTTCGCCTTCAACCAAAAAGCTCATGTCGTTATGGAGAACACGAATACTGGACGCACGTTAAGAAAAACATGGAACAATGAACTTTGCTCAGCAGCAAGAAGAAGGAAATTAGTAAAAAAAGGTGCAGACAATAAGCGGTTACGAAACAGTCGCCTTACAGGAAGAGAAGGAGAGGCGAACGATGTCAAAAAATAGCACTCAGCGAATACTGTTATAGTAGCATGCTGCCGGTGAGACTCGGCAAAGTGCGCCCTGAGGACCAATCAGTGACTGACTGGCTGGTGGCTGGCCGGCTGACTGCATGAATGAATGAGTGAGTGACCGAGTTAGTGAGCGAGCTACATGGACACATAGAGACAAACAGGTTGACTGACACAAATACAGATACAGGTACAAATAAATACAAACAGACAGGTTGACTGACACAGATACAGATACAGGTACAAATAAATAAAATATGTATTTTCTGTATACATATATATATATATATGTATACACATACATGTGCTGACATATATATATATATATACACACACATACACACATCAGTAGCACAACCAGCAACGAACGCACTATCGAACGAATCGAACACACTAGCAGCGAGTGACGGGCAACCACAATACTGGTGGACTGAGGTACTTGTACCCGAGGTACTGCATGGACATCATACCGCAGCAGGCGCTGTGAATGATCAGCAACATTGACTGAGGTTCATAGACAGAAGGACATGGATCATCTCAACTGCAAGTAAAGTTTGAACTGAATTGAATAGTAAGCGAAAGCCTAAAGGTCGGCAACTGTAGTTATAGACTGATCCAGGACTGGCAGTGTTCTGTATCTGTAGCAAGGAGAAACCACAATTAGCTGTTGCAGCGCTTCCCTCCGCCACATAAGTCGAAAACCTCTACCCTTGAAGCCCTCTCGCCACAGGGAGACTCCGCCCCCGACCTCCGGAGCCACGAGCCGCCTCGAGGCCAGAGGTCGCTGACTTTCCTCGGCTTCCGCTCGACAAAGGCTGCTGCTGGAAATCTGTGCTGCATGTGTCTGTGTGAGTGCATTGTGCGTGTGCATGCGTGTGGCTCTGTGATCCTGCTTGAGCCTGCTTGCATGTTGTGTGTCTGTGTGAATGCTGATCCACCTGGACCGTGAGAGTCCAAACCTTTTTCATATCGGCTCAAGAGCAGAGAGCAGAGCTCTTCAATCCAGAGCCCCGGGCCCCGATCCGATCCCGCGACTCCTTCGAGCAGTCCGCATCTGCATCCCCCCATCTACTAGTAAGTCTATGCTTCAAACTTCAAAGTGCAGCTGCGTGACCAGAGAGGCAACGAACTTGAGACCACCACCACAGGCGCCTCGAGCCAAAGAGTGGAAGCGTTGCTTCGGATGTACGCGAATGTACGCCAAGATTTCGCAAGTTTGTTGCGTTGCGCAGCCGACATGGATCGCAGAAACTTCGGGCGACATGCTTCAAACTACATGCGCTCTAGCAGGGCGCGACCCATTAGTTCTGCTGCGATTGTGCCGAACTCCTCACGGGTGTTTCTTATCCGAGTGCGGTCCGCTGGTGGACTGCCAAGTCACAGCAGGCCGTCACAGGACCGTTGCCTGCCGTGGCTTTGGACCATTCCTTGGGCGGTGTCCACCTTTCTCACCTCTGAATTGCCCTCGCGCCGAAAAGTGCCATCATGCTCTACCTGCAAAGCATCGCCAGCCCGCAACATCAACGTTCAACTCAGTCGTCTCTCGGTGTGCGCGATGCTCTCGTCCCAGCACCGCAAAGCGTGCTTGCATAAACTGTCACTGCCGAGCAACGGCAAAGGTGCCCCAGGTGTCCTGCAGCAGCGCATGACTCCGGGGTCTACCATTGGTGTAATTCGGTTGGGGGGTGGAGGCGGGTTCGAGAAGCCATGTCAGGCGCACCGAATCTTCTTCGCGCGAAAATGCGAAGTTCCGAACTCATCCCTCCGGGACGCAGAGCCCCCACAGCTCAGTGCTCTGAACCTGTACCGGAATACACTCTACAAGCCCAGTCCGCCGCTTTAAGCTGCGCAACATCGAGTCTGCTTCGTACCCCAGCTAGAAATCGGCATGTGCGCTCCAAAATCATTATGGCCAGAGCGCTTTCCATCCAGAACCTGCAGCGCCCTGCGAGTTGCACCAGTGCCCTGGCAGATTTCTGGATTCATATTTTAGCTGCTTCAAGGAGTCGGCTGATGGAATTCCATCTTCGGACATCTAGTCTTAGCATCGACGTACACGTGAGATGACATGTGGGTCATCAGGGCACTTACCAATCACAATTGTTCTTGCACGATGGCGATGGCGGTCATTGCGATGATGATGATGATGATGATGATGGTGATGATGCTGATGGTGATCATGAAAGGGATGGCGATGACGCCGACGGTGATGATTCTCATAGTGATGGGCTAAGCTCCGAGTCGTGTCGGCACCTTCACTTGGTTCCAAGCTCCGACATCCCCCCCTTTGGAAAGCGCCTGTCTCGTAGTGGTAGCAGCTGTTGTTGTTGGCATCCTGCGGAACGAACCCCGTGAGGCTGGCTCAGCTTGGCTGGGGAGGCAGCCCTCAAAACCTGGTGTCGGGGAAATCGGGGTTGTGGAGGTCCGAGCATGAGGTCTCGAGGCTGATGTTGAGGTGTCTCAGGAGTTGCGCCACTACCCTGGTACAGTAGCAGGGAAGTCGAAGCATAAGAACACGCATGATGTGCAGGGCCGCTGTCCTTCCATGTCGCCGGAGAGTCGTGACATTCCAGCTGCTGGCCCCGAAGGGGTCGGATCGCTGCCTGGTGAAACAGCGAGCTCCTCTCAGCCTACTTTCTTGCACACGTAGTGACAATGACAATTTTACTTGTGTTGACGGCCGACATGCATGATGACTGGTTCTGAAACTTCTGCATGCAGGGTTTCTCAACCACCCCACCCCTCGCAAATGCCGCTGAGACCTTCCAGCCGAATGGCCAAAGCCATCAACATCTCAAAAGTTCGGCGCCGAAGGCCCCAAGACCATAGAATCATACAGGAATAATGTCCTGCTCGCCTCACCCTGAAACCTCGGAGACCCCGGCCCCAGTTTCCAAGAGACAACCTTGCACACTCCTATGCTCAGCGCCTGCAAGCCTATGTGGTCGCGGAGCGATTCTGGCTGTGGCTTTTTGTGGCAGGATCAAAACCAAAGCCCAATGTCACGGAGAGCCTCTGAGCTTCCAGGGAAGGCGTTCGGAGTCTGCGCCTCCTTCAGATCCGGATTTCAGCTTCGGTTCCGGGCTTGATATGCGGGTCTTTCTGGCCAAAGGTGTGTTGAACAAAAACGACGACGTCGACATCGACAATCCGACGACCACGATGGCCGCAGTAGCAGCAAGCAAGCCAAGAACCATGACAGCCACGCCAACTAATGCCAACTACTGTATACTTCAAGCAGAGAGGTGAATTCACAAATTACAACTAAGCAAGTACGGAGGTCTTGCAGTCCAAAAGCAGCACTCAGCAGGAAGGGCCTTGGGTGTGTACACTGGAGCGGAGCTCCCCGGTGGTGTCCGGGCAATGGCGGCCTCAACACCTGACACAGCGGAGCTTGTGAACTCTTGGGGGGGCCTGGTAACTTGTATGGGGCCGTGGCCTCTATAAACACGGAGATGGGGCTTGACTGTCCGAACCTCTCGCGAGTGAAACTTAGCACGGGATGCAGATGATGCTTCACCCGACTTGTAATCAGGCAACTGAAAAAGTTCAGAACCTTTCGACGGCCTTGGCGCAACTGATCCTCGGGTGCAACAGGATAGAGCTCCGAGTCGAACCTGAGATCCGGTCCCAAGAGAGGGAGCGGAAGTAGGCTTGGCAAACTTGGGGCTTCGGGCTTAGGAAATTGCTTCTTTAGTGTGAAAACTTGAGCGCATCCCACAATGAGCCATCAGGCCTTTCGGGACGGATTGAATGCAAGGCTCGTGCCAATTTCACAAAGGTCTTGACACAATTTCTATGTAGTTACGAGGGAACCCAAGGGCTTTTTTACTGAAAACATTTAAACACCTGTTTTAGAGGCTCCTATGTCAAGGGCGAAGCTGCTCTCCCATGTCCGAAACGTGCTCCAAGCCCAAGTTTGCCTAAAGCTCAAATCTCTCACATCCAAGCCCAAGGTCGCAAGATCCTTCAGGTCCTGCCGTCTACATCAGTTGAAACCATGAAGGTTGATTTTTGTCAAGGGTACAGCCAAAGGCCCGCTGCCATTCGGAAACCGAAAACGCTTGCCAGAGTATAGCAAGCGGACAAGGCCCTGAAACCTCAACTGGGTGGAATTTGCAAATTCGACTCCTACTGTCACTTCATGCTGGGCTCTCGCGTCCGTGTCTCGTGCTTCTGACCCGCCACACTCGGCTGCATTGGGCAGTTCGTCACTTGCTTCTTTAAGGCGACAAGACAAGTCCAAACGTCAGGCTTCGGCAATAGAACATCTGAGACTAGCATCCTCCTTTGAAGGCCGAGCAGCGTTGCAAGGGTTGGATCTGCGCGGTCCTGTGCAACACAGAAATACAGAGAGAGAGAGAGAGGGGGGGCGGGGGAAAATGCCCGCCAACAACCGTGCTCCTGGAAAGTGAATCTTCCCTGACTTCATGGATACGCATGAATGTATGTGCATGCATATATATATATATATATATATGTATGTATGTGTGTATCAATACATACATACATACATGCATACATACATTCATACATACCTACATATGTACATACGGACATGGGACATACATACATAGATACATGGATACATGGATACATAGATACATAGATACATACATACATACATACATACATACATACATACCTACATACATGCATACATACATACATAGATACATAGATACATAGATACATACGTACATACATTGCATTTGGAGCTGCTGCATGCTACATTAGGCTGCGTACTACCGCTGATCGCACCGAAATGCAGAAAAACATGTATGTGTATATTATATATATATATATATATGATTATATATGTCTATATCGATGTCTATATCTGTGTATCTGTCTATGTATATGTGTACGTACATATACACCATGCCGCGCCCGTTGTTGACGGCTTTATCCTCAAGGCACCCTTCAAAACGACCCTGTGCTGTGCCTGCAGTTTTTGCCCCCGCAGCCGGAGACCTGCCGAGAGGTCGTGTGCGGCCACGACGAGACGTGGTTGCCGACGCACGACGAGACGTCGATCCACCAAGACCGGACCATGACAGAACTTTTGCTGTGGTGCGTCTTTCGGACGCTTTCGGGACTCAGTAGACCATGCGGTGCGTCCAAAATCTGGCCTGCGGCGCTCTCACGCACTTCGAGGAGTTCAGGTCGTCTCTCTGTCGGTACCTGTCGTAGGGAACGACAATTTGGGGATTAGGCAAGGGGAAACATTCTACAAGAAAGGTGTGTATGCGTGTGCATGGGAAATCTTCGCTCAGGAAGTCCTGCAGCTTCTCTGCAAAACAAGTTCGGGACTGATTCTGTGGTGTTTTTCATAATGCTGTGAGAATCGCACCAAGTCGGAGCTAACAATCGTGAGGCAAAGGAATCACCATGATTTTCTCCTTTTTGGCATCACCGTCCGCATCCTCATGCTGAGTGATCTTCATCGTAGCCCAGGGATCCCGTGCGCCTTTGCGGCCCAAAGCTCGCAGCTTTGCAATGCCAAGGCCAGGACCGCAAGCTTCATTCCTCCGGGACGGATAGGAGAGTTCATCGTGCAATCTTCTGGTGCATTTGAACTACTCATATCAGAAGGCACGTGTTACAAGAGGTAGATGGCTTATTCCAGGCATGCGGCTGCTCAACTGTGCCTCCCCTCCCTGCCTCGGCAGCCTGGCGCACAGCCGCGGGTGACATCACCCACAATGCAGCGGCCAGAGCATCGAAAAGCTGCGGGATGCGAAAGCCGTCGCCACGGCGCAAACTACATAAGACTCCCTTGCCTGGATGCTGCCGTACAAAAGCAATGCCCACAGCCCAGAGTCAAAACCAGGTTGGCCCCGAAACACCATTGTCACCGCTCGATGTCTGAGCACACGGCTCTGCCGATGCGGCTGGACATCGCCTGGAAGGACATCCCACGACCCCGGACCCCCATACAAAAAATCTCAAGGAGCACAGGTTGCGAAAGTCGCCTCGTCCGGCTCAGAGGGCCCAGACCTAAGCGCGGTCTTGGCTCGGTGCGAAGCACTCTCTGTACCAGAGCCGCGGAAACTAGAGTAATCAGAGTGTCGGACAAGAATTCGCGTAGCTTGTCTACTCAGGACTTGTCAAAGCACTGCATGCTCTACAGCGCTGCAGCTATGACTTCAAAGTCCTGAAACGTTGAGAGACCTACTCGTAACAGACTCCAGCTCTTCGGTGTCGGACCGGGCTGTATCACTGCACATTTGGCTCCTCAGCACCTTGGGGAGAAGGGGGAGGTAGATCGCATGGTGTAGGTACTTCCGAGGCTTGGCTCGCGCGGTGGATCCTGGTCCAACGCTTCAGATCGGACGCACAATTATTGGGGCTGCCAGTATGTTGCTTATAGCTGACATAGATGTAATCCGCAAGCGCGTCCGTCTCATGCGTCTGCAGCTACAACTCGCTGCAAAGGACACTGACTCTACCACCAGGCAGACTGCAGCCGGTAACTCGGCAGTGCATCATTCCAACCCGATCGGGAAGATGTGCTGCATGTCACACAAGCTTTGTGAACAAGTGCTGACCAACCTCACTAAGCATCCCCACTGCAAAGGAAGTCCAAGGATTGAAATGCGACGAAATCAGCCAGAGCTTGCAAGTCCTTCTACCAAATCTGACCAAAATCATGCCAACAAGCCAGATGCCATCGGCATAAATGGCACCTGCCGCGCCAGGCGCGGGTCTCCTTGGCGAAGCGAGCGCAGCGCCGCCTCGTCAAATCAGCAGGGATGCGTGGACAAAGGTACGATGATGTTACGCAATAGTCCTCCCTCTCACCTCTCATCGCCCCAGTTGACAGTCACTAAACGGCCTCCACGACGCTGGAGCTCTGCTGCAGCTCCTACGTAGCATCGAGGCATGCTGCTGCAGAAACCGCTTGAGAACAGCGTGACGCAACCTAGGACCTAGGCATTCCGTTCTTCTCATGGCAAGTGGGGCCAACTCGTAGCACATATCTGGCGCACACAACAGCTCTTCGTCTCTGCTTGTCTCTCTGTCGGCAGAACCGTTGCATCCTCTCAAATCTTTCGATGAGGAAAACATGTTCAACAGGCCGGTAGGCCAAATGATGAACAGTCATCCAAAACTTTTGGCCAAACTCCCATCCCTAAACTCGGCCTCCAGACGGGCATGCTGGTTTGCAGCCAGGCGCTCTACCTTGCGGGTGCAGATTGCGTGAACACTTAGGAGTTTTGGCAACTTGGCGGTCGGTGAATCCACGCATCGGCATCTTGTTCGAAAATCTGACGGTGCAAAACAAAACACTACAGGGTAAGGTAAAATGAGAGTCTCCCTGTTGCGGCTAATTACAGGTTCCGGGCAGAGGCTGTGGATTGCTGGGGTTTCCGCCCCGTGCACAAAAGATGTACACATGTTTACGCTTGCTTCGAATGATCTCGCAACACGTCAATGATTCTACACTCATGTCACTATATACCATTATATAGCCACCACCCCCGAGTTGAAGCAGAGCCTCTTCCACAAGGACCTGCCCGACAAGGTGGCTGGATTTGATGCCAATTGCAACTGGATTTGCCATGTTTCCGTGCAGCTATGGCGCCGCCGATTGAGTTCCACATTCTGGCATGTACTAGCATCGCAAAACGAGCGTCCCGGCAAGACCGGCATGTGCGCAAGCCATACCACAGCTTCCCACCTCCTGTGACCCATCGACCATGGCCACAGGTGGCTCGGATGCGCCGTACAGTTCTTACACACTTGCTCATGTCTTGGCCGAAGTACGTCCAGCCGCTGTGACACTATTGCTGTGCACCCCTACCTGCGTTGATTTAGATGCAACAACAACAGGTGCAGGCCCAGGTGTTTGCCACATGGGAAAAATCCGCATTCCAAAACGACACGCTAAACAAAGCTACTTGGAACCGATAAAGACGGGTGCGCGAGATGCTCATGACAACTGTGGGGCGTGGTTGAGTTTTGTGGGGCGTGGTTGAGTTTTTCCTATATCACGCATTTATACGGATATTGTATAGCACAGTCATGCCGGGCTCAGTTTCCCTTGCCTATTTTGGTTTGGACATCAGGCAGTCTTCGCAGCAAAGCCAACTGCTCAAAGCCTGCACCAAGACGAATGAGCCCTCCTTTTCATGCTCATCGATGCGTCTACGCAGTTGGCTGCTTGCAGTTGCGATAGTTTCTCACAGCTGCAGCCGCTGAATTTAAAGTGCAGGGCATTACTCGCATAACGAAAGCCTAGTGCCTGTAACTGTGTGTTCACGCGACTTCATCAATGATAGAACACATGGTGTCAATGTTGCCGTCAGAGATGGACTTCGGGAAATTTTCATTGCTCCAGGATTTCCTCTTCTCGAAAATCCTGAGCACGCAAGCATCCACGATGAGGTGTGGGGTTCCCATTCCAGCAGACGCGACTTCCCCCAAGATCTGGCCTGGGCCTCCTTCCAATGCTCCACCGAGGTCCCCACCTGGTGCCCAAAGACAGTTGGTGTTTAGGGACAGGTGGGGGATCACAACTTTGGCGTGGACCCCTGCCCAGTCCCAGAGTTCGAATCGGGGCGAGGCTAGCTGCTACTCCCAAAGTCCTTGACCTTGACAAGGAACCAATGCCTGAAGAAGTGCCCGATCACCTTCTTTGAGAAAAGCGGGAATCTGCGTTTGGAAGCAAAGATTGCCACCGGATGAAGCCCGTAAAGCCCGAATGCCTGCAGCTTGCAATCGAACAATCACATCCCATGTTCGGAACACTTCAGTCCGACATCTCAAGGGAAACCTACAGCATCCTCTCTGTCTTAATTACTGACTCCCATTGACTCCGAAGTGATTCGGACCCCTCACCCGGGTGCCCGCGCCAGCCAGCTGCGCTCAGAAGCCACATCACCATGCCGCCTGACAATGTTTCGTGGGGATGACTGCACGTGCCTCCTGTATTGACAAGCACACACTGCCAGACATGCCATGTTTCAATTCAACCCGCACTTCGGGCATGCAAAGTCGGGCTTTAGGAGGTCTGATTTTCAGCTTCAGCCTACCAAGTTGCCTTGGGGCGTCTGCGCCTGCCACGGCCTGGTCCTGAAGCCGGGTTCAGAAAGAGTTCTGCTAGCTACCAGTAGAGTCTCCTTAGGAAAAGCTTGCGTTTTGGGAGGGAGTTCAGGTCGCAGGACTGGCTCCACACAAATCCTATGATGAGCACGCAACCACAGCACGACGACAATCTCGCCAAGCATTGATGCTGACGATGATGCGCGGACAAATGAGCCCAGGCAATGTGAACACTGGCACCTAGAGTGTAGATCTGCCTTGCATGCGCGTATTCCCTTAAGCATCTGTCGCCTTCATGTGCTGGGTGTCAAGCTTTGCACTTGATGTAACACTTAATTTCGTCTTCCTCACTGCAGTTCTCCCACATGCACCCAGCAAGAACGCCTGAGGCAGACGTCTCGTAGCCCAAACCAAAGCTTTCAAATTTCGAGAGTCGTCGCATCCCGGGATCCCGGACATCCGAGATGCCATTGCGATCGCCTGGATCCCACTCGCACCTGGAGCTCTGGTCTACCGTGACTTGTTTTTTCAAACTTGGGCTGTATCACCCAACTCTTAATCTGCATCCCGCCCATCTTGTCCAACATGTACGTGAGGCCGATCAAGGCTTGGCATGTGTGCGTCCCCTATTCAAACCACATGGGGATGCCATAGCACATCTTAATGGCTTCACTGGCGTTGATCTTGCTCCGGTGCAATTAGACGTGCTTCACGATATGCACATTTTTAAATTATCTTCGGGAGGCGTAGCAGGAAGGATGATAATCTGCATAGTGTACGACACTTGTTGTTCCAGACGAAAACGAAAAGGTTCCGGAAAGCCTTTGTAATTGCACGTCATACACTCTTTGACGAGCTTGGACTCAAAAAATCCGGTGTGACATCAACTCTGGCATGTTGGATGGCATCACAAAGCTGTTCTATCTTGCCCGAGATCAAGGAAACGAACTGGTAGATCACCTACATTCACGTCACCTGCATCACGGATGGAAGACAAGGGCCTGGTTTCAGGGCCTTTGAGTTTCAGCCCCTGACCGGTGGTGTGCATGATAGCCTCAACGAATGTAAGTGCGCCATCCCGCCCTCCAAGTTCGCGAAGTAATCCTGGTATGTGCACCACGAAAATCCGACATGGCGTCAGAGATACCCAAATGATGAAACCCAACAACAATGTTTGAGCTTTCGTGGCAACGAGATGATAGCTTGCGATATGCTGTTCTGAGTATATGTGCGCATACTGTATCATATTCTCGTTGCAATGCACAGCAGGTGTGTTTCATCTGATGGCTCAACAATGGGATCCTTATAGACTTCATGGAAGAAGTGCACTCCCACAGCCCCCCGGACTCTCAGTAAACATATACATATTCACATAGACATGTGTACAATGTATACATATATGCATGCATACATATGTACGTGTACAGGTACATGTACATGTACATGTATATGTGTATGTATATGTTTATGATTGTATATGTATATGTAGCCTTGTTAAATGTATGCATGTACTCTCTGTGTTGCCTTTTCTTTATCGGATGGATGGTTGTCGTTTGCAACTCATCTGTCGGCAGCCAAGGCACTGCGGGCGATCTGGCGCCAAGCCCTCATCGCGCCTGGTGTCCGAAAAGCCGCAGCTCACTAGCTCTCAAGTATCCGCAAGAGCAGAGCGGTTGGCTTAGAGCGTTGTCCGAACTGTCTCATGTCCCGGTGCAGTGCCCTATATATGTAAGATGATCTCCTGCGAGTGTAGACATGCTGACGACTCTCAATGTGCAGCTTGGTCGCCGACGCACAGGCTCTATTTGTGTTGGGGCGTCCAAGGACGTTGATTCTAAACTTTGCTTTGTGTGCAATTGCCTTTCACACTCTACGGTTGAGAGTGCGTGCTGCACGGTCTTGCCGAGCTCCAGGGAAGTGTTGTAAATTCCAGGTAAGTGATTGCAAAGTCCAACATAGAACTGACATTCCATGCTACGAAGCCTACTCTATCGAGCCATGAACAACCGGCACTTCTCGATTAGAGTCTTCCATGCCCAAGAGAGAAGGAGGTAGAACCTCTAGTGCCTGACAGATGATGTGTAACCGGAGAACCATTGGGACGACTGACTTGAGGTTCCCGGTGTCCTGACGCGCGATGTCGGGCACCCACAGAAATAGAACCTCATGTCTGGGTTCAGAATCTTGTTGCGAAGAGGGTTCCTGGCTTCTTCCGCCAGTGTCAACAGGGCTTCTAGGGTTGCCGGGGCTGGGCTCAGCCCACAAAGAGTTACAACATGACATGCTGCCAGCTGCTGCCTGGCACCGCCATCATCAGCAGGAAATTCTCGATCCACTTCCGTTGCAAAACGGGGTCGGGGGAAAGGGGGGGGGCGAAGCATCGGATCCTTGCCCTGGAGTGCAGGAACCCTGGCGCGCACACCTAACAGCTTCAGTCCGCAAGCATTTTAACCTAGACACGCTCAGCACCACTTCTCCTCGTCTTAACACTGAAAATTACACGACTAGTTGCGTCTTCAACTCGAGGAACCCAGAGTTTCCAGATTGCAACCTCTTGGTCTCCGGGCCAAGGGCTGCTGTCCGAGGCCGCATCCAAGCCCTGGCTCCTCCATCACAGGACTTCAGGATCGAAGAGAGTTTAGGGCCGCTTAGGGAGTTTAGGCTTCGGGTCTTGAGTTGGAGGTTTAAGATTCGTCTTGGGGCGAAGTGCTGATTTACGACGCGAAGCAGTCCCTGGGGACACAGGCTCGCAGTGCCCAGAACCAAATCGCAAATTACCAGCAGCCACCGCTCTGTGCGAGACGGCCTCCTTGCGGCCTTGCGGAGGAGGAACCTCTGGGGCCCATGTTGCGGATTCTGACTCAGGCGCTCACCGCGGATGGAACTCTGGTTCAGTAGAGTGAGTAGAGGACGGATGTGAAGGGAAACCAAAACAAAAAGACTCCATTAAAGGCTACGACAAAGGTGCCCTTCGTCTGCCCCGCCTTCTCTCACCGCCCGTCTATTCAGCAAACAGCCTTCTTCCGCAAAGTAAATAGCTGCAAGAAGTGACTAGCTTCTGGACTTTGTAGCATTGGCAAAAGCTTTCGAGACTTGTGCTTAGCTTCGTTTAACGGCTGCGCGAGCACTTCTGGCAGATCCCGTTCACACAGGACTGCGAAAGGGCTCGTGCAGAGGCGATGCTGCAAACAGACGAGGGACTCAGAATCCTTGCAAACGTAACTCATGATTGGGTAGCGGCATAGTGAAGCGCTCCAAACTTTCCTGGACAGCTGGGTGCCGCACGCCTGTCTGCCGTCCTCGAAGTAGCGACTTGGCATCTGAGGAGGGGACTCCTTGCACAGTGCAAGTACTGTACTCTGGACAGTGTTCTGCGACTCTCGCTGCCAATGCCGAGCTCAAGAACAGGGAAAGAAGACCCCCAGACTCCAGCAAACTGTCGGACGCGTGCCTGCGCACACCCATCCAGACACGCGCACACACAGAGAAAAAAACAAGCAATCACATACGCACGTACGCACACAGGAAGCATGCCAACGACAGCATAGACACCACCTCCGGGGGGGAAGAAACAACTTCTCGTGCCCAGGTCTCGGTCAAAGCAGGAAGTCACTGCTGAAGCGCCGCAAGATGATACCACAGAAGAACGAAAGAGACAACTGGACCGTGCCACGACTGACTCGCAGATCAAAACCAAAAAACAAAGCATCGAACAGCAACGGAGACACGATGCCTTGTACCCCTGCCTCTGGAATCCCTCATGGGCCTGCTGATAGCCCGGAAGACCGAAGAAGTTGATGGCAGGCACTGCCAGGTACTGAGCCTCGCATGGGGGCCGAGTGGGCTACGTCGAAAGGACACTCCCAAGTATGCCGACCTACAGCAACGGTGCCTGCTGGGCAAACTGCCCAGTCGGTAGCAAGTGCTGCTTGTGCACCGCAATGCTTGCACAAGATACCGAAAGACAGCTGATCAGATGCGCCTAGAAACAACGGACGTCTGCGACATATGATTATGCTCCCCGACAACTCCGCTCAAATTCGAGCATTTCCAGAACGTCAGTCGTTCTTCCAAATCAGCCTCCTGTTGATCTGCACAGGTATCTTGGGCTGCGGCATCCACGAACAAGTTTGTGTTGTGCTCCATGCCTGCAACGGCAAGACAGATGGGTTCCACACGCATGGCAGAGACTGCGGGAAAAGCAGCAGTATTAGCAGCGGCAGTGGCTGCTGCAGCCGTAGCAGAAATCGTAGCACTACAGGAGTAGTTGTAATTCTAATACTCTGGTACTAGTACTGTAGAGTCGTCGTGCGGAGACAACGGTTCTGTGGCTGTCGAAGCCTGTGGCTTTATACCCAAACCATCGACCATGGACATGCTTCATGTTACGATGTTACCAGGTATCTGAACAGCATCTTGGTGCCTGGTGGTGTAATCAGCAACTTCCGTGACCGACACTGCTTGAAAAGGGCCACCTCAGGCGCACGGAGGGTAGACGTTAAGGAAGATGGAAGGGTCGGGCATTTAATGCTTCCTTGGGAGGTCTAGAGGAGGCGCTCCCGGACTGCGTGACTCTTTCTGCGTGGCAAATGCACGGAAGCGAGAAATCGGCGAGAACTGGGCAGAATGCAACACCCCAACTGCCGCCAATTCTCACCTAGTGCTTAACATGCTTAACGAAGCGGGCCGACTCGCAACGTCTCGAGTCCGGCGAGGCCGTCCTTGACTTCCTCTGCCTCTCGAATGTTTCGGTTCTGATTATGAGTGACACTACCGGCTCTTTCTGCGCGTCCCTTGCTCTGAATTGTTCTGCGCCGAGGCTTCGACCGAGTGCGACGGTGGCACCAAGCTGTCTTTTTCGCCGTGGATGAACAGCGTGGGGCAGGAGACGTTTCCTTCGAAGGATGCGAGCGAGGGACGCGAGCTCTGGGTACACTCGAACATTCCCGAAGCAAGCAATCCTGCACCTCATTGCCTCTATGGCGAAGATCTTACAAAAAGCTCTTGGCCTGCAGGGCACCCTTTTGTGCACATGGCCGAACATCTCAGAAATCAGAGCTATCGTAAGTCGACAAACACGGCCCGCCGGGCCCGCCCTTTTCTGGCGCGGTCCTATCAGAGCGATGTTTGGGAACCGCTCTTCCAGGACCTCGGTCAAGCTGGAGAGGGACTCGGGGTTCTGCAAATCTGGAGGCCTGAACCGGAGGCATCCTTTCTCAAGTCAAAGGCAGCTCCGGGCCGAGGCACGTTTGCCACAAAGGGGCCCACCAGCGACTTTGCTGCCTCCCAAGTCGGAGGTAAAGCTCAGAAGTTACAGTTCGTTCAAGACCTGTCGGTCTGGAGCGAATTGCGCCAGGGGCTGGCAGCATACTGTGCATCTCCGCGCAGCTCAGAGGACACTCAAGGTGACTTTTCCGGGATGCGCAGATCAGTGTACGGATGACGTAGAAACCCAGGTGTGAGTTTCCGCAACCCGAGAAAGTATGCGGCCTGAACCCCACTCCCCTACCCTCCCCTAACTGTTCCCGAACTCCAGTACACCCCTGCTGTGCCCATATGCCTCCCGGACCGAAGCGAAGGCCGCCACGAGGATGAGGCCACCGACGGGAAACCTTTCGGGTGCACTGTGGGGGTCTGCAGATTTGGAGCAGGAGTTAGTAGGAAAAGCTACGGGATGCTACGGGCGGTTTCGCTTATAGCGTAACTTTACAGTGACAGTCATATACAGTAGGGACTGCGGGGGAGATAGTAGCTACCAATTATTCGGGCCTTTTCATTGCTGAAAACCCCTGTCTTGCCGCCATTCTTGGCGCGGGAAAGTGGCATCCGGGAGAGTGGAGGCTCCATGCTTTTGCTGAGCACGGAAGATCCAAGAGCTGAGGGCTTGCTGTCATTGCTGTTCATTGGTATGCTTCTCACCGGACTGCGCGGGGACAACTACCGCCAACAAACATTCTTTTTGATCTGATTAAGAGCGTCTGGGCATCACCATCGCTACGTAGTCTCTACGGTGACGATGACGATGACGACGTTGCTGTGCCGTCTGTCTGACGACACCCGAGGATCTAGGATCGGCAAGAACAAACACATTGCATCGATTGAAAGCAGCGTGTGCAAAGGTTGACACATTTTGGGCCACCAACTGCCAGTGCAAAAGCTGAGTATTGCTTCAGGGGTGCAATCGACACTGCTTCTTGTTCTGGTGCATGCTACCATGGAGACCGACGAACTCGCAGTCAAGGGCGGTGAACTGCAAAGCCCGCACATCACTAGTGTTTAGGTGCATAGGTTTCTATGGATGGTGCAGTTCTGTCAGCCGACCGCGTCATGAGAGACAGCGCGACAGTTTCTGGCGCAAAATTGCTTGGATGAGGGGTGCACAAAGAAAAGACCGAGCGCCTGCTCGCCAGGTAGACAGTGGGCCCAGACCCGACAGATCGTCCGAAAAGGATGATCTGCTCGTACCTCGAACTCAAAACCTCTCCCCCTCTCTTCTGATCCCTATCGCTGGTTGTACTCCAATAATGATGGTGGCGGTCGTCATCCTCATCATCGATATCATCCTGATAGTAGTGATGCTGACGGTGATGATTGTCAGGTTGCTGCTGCTCAAGATGATGTACAAGATGATGATGACGACGGTGGTGATGACGACGATGATGATACTCGCAGTAGGGCCTGATGCTGGCGATGAAGATGACCATCACTGTCGTATGCAAGTACCAACATGACTTGTTGTCGCTATTACAAGTGGGGTCTACATGTCTTCCTCCACGCTGGCTGCATCGTAAAGCACACCGTCGTCCAACCTTGTATGACACCTGACACCTGCATGGTGAACGGCTGCTTCACGGACCTCCAGTGCTGCGGAGAGGACAAGCTGTGGCTGCGCAAAAGTTTCACGTACTAGAATATGAAGTGTTTCCGTCCGGGAACGCAACGAAAGCTTCTAAAGAACGTTTTCAGCATCTACAGACAGGCAAAGCTCTAAAGATCTGCTCGCGCTGCTGCTAGAGCCTGGCAGTTGCTGTCCTGTTCCCCATGCTATTCCAAAATCGATCCGGACCCACCCTTCAAGAGGCTTCAAGAGACCGAACACAACAAGACCATCAACAGGTCGAGAAAGGTTCGGGGTGAGGGTGAAACTTGAAGCCAAAACCGAGGCATGTTATTCTGGGCCATGCACGCAACCTTCAGCTCGTCCAGGATGAAACGAAAGGCAGTCAGGGCAACCTGCAGTTTGAAGCCAAGTCATGCATCGAGCGATACACGTAATGCACACATGAGAGCAGAGCGGGCGCAAGCGTATTACAAAGGCGAGCGGATGTTGGTACGCGAATGTGATTGATGCAGTGCTCCTTGTAGGCTGCGTTGCGAACTGGTTCATAAAACCTGAGCCTGCCCTCAACGACGTTCTGTCTGTTCTTCTTTCGTAGATGTGCTCTTTTTCTCTCTGTTCCTATCTGTCCTTATTATCTATTTCGTTAACTATTTCTGTCTCGCTGTCTTGCGCTTTCTATACGTGGTTCGTCCATTATGTCTTTGGTTGTGTATGTCGTTGTTCCGTTATTTCTTCATTCCTTCTCTCCTCCTTTCTGTCTTTTTCGGGTTTCTCTTCACTTCGCTTCACTCCGCTGTCCCCTTTACCATCCTTCGATGCTTGTGCTTGTCAACAACGGGTCGGAAAAGAAGCCTGCCGTGAACGTGAAACAGTCTTAGGCAACGCTGATGTCTTTACTCTTGCAGATGTATGCTGCGGCTACGTTGTTATGTCTCTGACGTCTGTTCCCTCAAGGTGGCGGCGGGGGTGGGAGAAGGAGCCAGCTGTCGTGATAAACATAGGTATGCGGTTTGCGTTAGTTAGCCATCCTATCCGTGTATGCACGCATAGATGCACGCCAGCGTAGTTATCTATCCTATAGGGGAAAAAGAGAACCGCAAGATGCCCTTGATCTTACAGACCCTCTTTCACTGTGGACTGGCGCTGCTTTCCCCAATTTAGAATTCTTCAAGTTAATTAGGGCCTAATAAGAGCTACTAGTACCAACCGTAAGAGGTCAGAGTGCTCTTGGGCCTCCTTCAGAGCAGACTCCGAGGAGGAGGAGATGCCATGGAGCAGGCCGTAGCCGGGGTACCTGCGAGGAAACAGAGTCTCGCAATGAATCCTGAGCACACATGCAGAGGAAAAACCAAACACGGAATCAGACACACAAGCACAAGGTGAACCTGCTTCCGAACACAATTCAATCAACTCACGGCGCACTCAACTGCCAAGACATTCATCTTGAACTGATCTCTCATATGCCTCACCTCAGATTCGAAGCTTCAGATGTCTGGATGAGGGTGCCACATTACATGACTTCTGGACTCGGGCATGCTGGTGCTACACTGCAGCTCTGTTATGTCTATACATACATGTGCACCTGTCTACATCCATCCATCCACACAAAAATGCCACAGAAGTAATCAGACAGACGGACGGACAGACAGACAGACAGACAGACGAACAGACAAACCAACAGACACACGAACGGACAGACGACAGGACGGACGGACCGACGGACGGACGGACAGGCGGACAAACAGACGGACGGGAGGGACCGGACAGGACAGGACAGGCTGACAGGGATCCATGCATGATCTATACATACACACACGTAGATATATAAATGACCACATACATAGCTGCCCACCTATGTAAGCACCAGGTGCGATGACACATGTACGTGAGATGCGTGAACCATGTCGGAAACTTCGACAAAACTGAGGTTCCTGGGGAAGCTAAACCTCGCGAGATTCCCTGACTCAAGGGTGAACCTGCAGGGAGCTACCAGAGGTTGTGGCGACCCATGCAGCATGGACAAAATCGTCTGAGAACGCTTTGGAGGCTCCGAGAATGAGGACCCATGGGCCGGTAAGTTATTCGTTCTTGGTCAGCTACTTCGGCATTGCATTGCCTAAGATTTGGACGGTTGCTTGTGACAGTCGCGGATCAAGGATTGAGGGACAACCGAGTCAGAAAAGAAGTCATGTTCCATTCCTCGGAGTCCCTCGCAGGGCCCCGGCAAAGGGAAAGCACATGCCCAGGTCCTGGAGACAAGGTCGTGAACTAAGTGGCATGTAAGAGCTACCACAGACACCCGACGTCGTGACGAACAGAATTCACGACCGCCCGGGCATTTCCAAGCTGAGCATCTTGGGGCCTGGTAAAAAAAATCGGCAGAGTCTAAAACGCTCCCATCCGGCACCTGTGTGAATTGTTTACCAGGGCTAGTCTTGGAAATCAGGCGGCAGCCATGTGGAGTAGCGGAAACCCTGATTTGGTTTCTTTTATGCCAGCGCCGGCTTTGTCGTGGCCGCGGTAGGCTGCAGGATGGCAGCCTCACGCTGGAATGCCACGAAAAGCGAAAGATTGCATGGCTCAGCGGCTGCGGACAAAAAAAGCGACCAGGCCTCGCCGCAGGCCCGCGAGGCCTCCAAGGGCTGCGGGCCTTGCATGGCGAACACGAGCTCTGAGATGCGACCTGCACTGCACGTTCATGCGAGCTTGTGGTCGTAATTCTGCCATGATGGCTGTCGCAGACTGCCAATACTACTGCTGCCACTGCCACCTGCCACTGCCACTGCCACTGCCACGGCGATGGCTACGGCTTAACGGCTACGGCTACGAACGGCAAAGGCTACAGCAACTACAACTCCTACTACCACTACTACCAC